AATATACGGCTAATAAAATGACATTTATTCTCATCGTATGGGGCTTACACAAATCGAGCAGCTTTGTTTTGACATCATGAAGCTTCATTTTGAATCAGCAAATTTAAGCTGAGATGTGAAAGCTACCAAACCAAGGACCTTTGCCACATCAAGTGAACCTTATACAAGGTCAAGATGTTTGTGCTACTGAAAGGAAAACCTGTCATTTTTGCAATACATAAATTACATGGTAGTAACTGAGGACATGGGGGTTGAAATGCACAACTGCATTCTTTCCATGGCTCTTATAATATACTCTACCCTGAGGATTTTGTGCAAGTACTCTGTAGGGAATGAAAGGTTAGAGGTCATGCGAGTGCATAATGTTCAGGGATGGTGCAAGAAATCAAATATTTCCTTTGAGAGTTCTTTTTAATTAATCAAATGAAATATGTTTGTAGTATCTCCAGTGCTGAATGCTTTTGATTTTTCATTCAAAAAGCCACACAATGTCTCTAGGTTACAGTAAAGGCACAATAACTTGTGCAGAGGTTTAGAAGCATGGGATGGTACAAAACAAGTATAATAGGGCATTTTTATCACTCACTTGAGAAGTGCACACACAACATAATATCCATTCACTACTTCAGCTGTGGGTGTAGAAGACTGGAGCACGATATAAGCAGAAAAAGTTATTTTCCTCAGAAAAGAGGAAAGGAGAGATTTTGTGAGGTGAGTCTCTGTGGCTGGATACAACACGGCATGGGTACAGTGCCTTCAGTAATGGCATGAGATCACTTGAACCATTTAATTGCTTGCACAGACTCTGGCATGGGTTTGGCCCCTGCCAGTGGGTATTCTCATGTGCCAGAGGGCTGTTCCCCAGTGGCAGTTTGGCTGTGGTTTCCCTGGTTTTGGTGCAGGGACACAAGCTGTACTGCACAAGGAGGGCTTGGGGCCAGAGCTGGCTTCTGGCTCGCGGTGGAGGGGTATGGCGACGGCTGTGTGCAGCTCCAGCGTCAGGCAGCACCTTCGCCCGTGTGATGTAGCATCCCTTCAGGGAAGACTCTTGCACGACCCTGTATGATTCTTGTATCCTTTAAGTCTGTGCTTTGTAAAGCTTCACTATTTACCATTTTTGATTGGTGATCTGCTTGGTCCTGGTAATTCCCTTTTAAACTCATAACAGGGACTGGAAATACAGCATCTTGGCACCTTTGTTAACTGGTGCAGGGTCTCCTCTTCAACACGAGTTCTGGCAGTTGTGAGCCACATGTCACCAGAGACTAAACATGTATTTAAAGTCAGATGATGTAAGTCTTTGTTTTTGATGTAGCTCCCCTGTGTTGTTGTCAAATGCTCTTCAGAGACCATGTGCAGCCACACCACCAAAGCTCTCTCCAGCCATCACAGCTCTCTCAGGTTTGGATTCCATTTGCAAATGTGCATATGCAGCTGAAATAATTGCTGCCATTGCCAGGCCCACTTTGGCAATAAAAATAAATGGTTTATAGGCAGTTTCAGAGGGCTGTTCCTATTCATAAATAAAGCCATTTGTTCAACAGTTTTGGTCATATTGTTCTAAGGCAGCTATGCCAAAATCCTTTTGGGAGATACCTGTGGCCAGCAAAAGCATTTTGCTTACTGCCAAGAAACCCTCCTTCTGGCAGCAGAGGAGTTTTAGTAAGCTTTTGTTACTGGGTAGCCTAAGAGGAAGGCTACTACGTTTTCAAATGTGTTAGCCTCTTAGCTGCCTCCATAAACTCCTATCTGAATTAGAAACCTCCCTTTACAGGCCAGTTTCTAACTGCTAATGTTTAGTTTTTCTAGCATTCTCTTTCTGATGGTTTTGGCCCACATTCCAACCACCTCCTTTATCAGAACACAGTCAGCCCTGCGAAGTCACTGTGTTGACAATATCTGCCTTAGATCATCTTTGTACACTAACAATTTCTCTTCTTTTCTGAACCCTCTACTTATATCTTTGCTTCTTTGCTTTATATTTACACATAGTTCAGTGCACCTCACCTTTGGAATGAGGTAGTTCCTCCTCTGCCTGTGCTAACAGAAGAACGTTTACAACCCCAAATCCCATATGGTGAAGGAAAAATCAAGCTAATATAAGTGTCTTTTCTTTTGGAAGGGGAATTTCATAGCAAGAAGTTATTTTTTCATTACATCGCTGATATAATTACATTGGTCTGGGTACCCAGTACTATGTTGTCTCTGTCTGAAGGTCTATTGCAAGTGTCATTTCTTCTCCCCCCAGACATGCTACAGAGATGTAAGAATCACCAGATTTTCAAGGGTATTGTTTTGTGCCCAGACCTTAACCTAGAAAGAGGGGGCTTCTAGTTTGGCTGGAAGATCAGCATACCGAAATAATCCTTTGGGCAGAGAATATCTCAAGGAGGAAACTGGAGGACCTGAGAACTGAGAGATTTTAATAAAATGCTGCAAATACTGTATTTTCATCCAGTGAAAAATTCAAGATATTCTAAATTAAATAGATCATCTGCAGATTCTTTTCACTGAGCTGTCAAATGCAGAAGGCATATCAAACCATGAAACTGGTAACAGTCCAAAAAAAAAAAAAAAAAAAAAAGTTGGTAGTGTCTGACTTTTCCTGCAATGGATTGGGTAAGGTAGCAAGGAGCTGCCTTTCAGCAATGACCACACTGGAAATCTCTCTGATGATACCAATCCTAGAAGTAGCTGGATGAGGTCCCAGAGTGGAAACTTGGCATTTGCCTACAAGCTGGAGACAATGGAAGCGGTTCGTCCTGCCATGGATGAGAAATTGGTCATATCTGTTAGCCCCAGTTCATAAGGGTGGATGAGTAGCTGGAAACCGCTGACAAGGAAACAAGCTGCACTTGCCCTGAGAAGCAGGAAGATCTTTAAGAGTTTACACACAGCAATGAATACTCTGTTGTTATTATCTATTATCTACAGAAATACCCAAGGTGCCATTTATGCCACCTTTTGCGTGAAAGGGAGACAATAAGAGGGAACACGATCTTCTTGTGCAGATCATTGCTATTAACGACAATACATACAGGAGAAAATAGTGGACATGCTGAGGAAAAGTTTCTGTGACAAACTGGATGACGAAAAACTAAAGGGATGCTTGAGCAAAGGGCAGGCTCCAGGGCTGGAGCAGAAGTGAGCGTCTGATACCCTTGGGAGGGTGCTCAACAAATTACTCTCTTCTTAGGTCACTTCCAGGCACAGTGCGAGTCACAGGGGTTTAACCTATGAAATCACTTCTGGCGTGATTTTGGGGAGACACTTGTACGATACAAGTGGTTACATAGGAAGTGTAAATCTAGACAGGGCAGCTTGAAACCCCATGCTAGTACCTAGAGCAATTCTCACTTCCCATTGCTGTACCGGTGGCCTTGTCCCAGCTCCATGTCAGCGTGAGACCCAGGCCAGCATCACACAGCCCCTGTGCCACAGCTGCCATGGGACATGAACCGGGGTCCATGCCCCAGAATGGAATGAGGGCAGCTGAGCAACCTGGATAGCAGTGTGGTGGTTGGTACACCTCAGTAGCTCACTGTAACACAGCCAAACTGGGGATCTGTGCATCTCAGAGGTCTCTGTGGGGGAGGACTAGCCTGGAATGATGACCTTAGCAAACCATGTTGGTTTGTCTTGTTTGCCCTCCAGGAAATGTTTATTTACCCAGGTCTTTCCTGAAGAGATATGTTGAGCAGGATGTCCTCAGCTGAGGGATCGGGCATTTCAGTTCAATGGGTATTTTGCAGCCTACATGTCTGTGAGAATTTGTGCTCTTAAAAAGGAAGCAGACACCAAAATTGCACTTCTGTCTAATTAGTTTTATCACAATTGTTGGATGTAACATGCATGATTGCCATTGTAGAAAGAGTTTAAAATTATATTTCTTTACTTGGATCAAATGGGTTATGTTGTACCTTCCCACACAGTCAGGGTCACTGCCTCCTCTTGTAGCCAGTCAGTTTGTTTCCCCTTTTTTCTGCCTGGGGCTCCCACAGGAAAGAACAAAACATTTAAAAGTTGAGAAAAATATGAATGGAGAAACCCAAATCCACTGGGGCAGTGGTACCCCCAGAGCTGTGTGTGTGCACCTTTGAGTACAGGACCCATCTCTACAGGGATGGGGCTCACCTGGAGATTTTGGCTCCTGCCTGTCGAGGGGCTGCTCTCACCCGCTTTGGTGCTCCCTTGTTAGAGGAGTCACTGACTCCGTTTGGGCAAGCTTTTGTAAATGAAGTTCTTTGCCTGAACAGTGGCTAGTTTAATGCCCAAGAGGACCTTTGCTGGCAAATGGAGAGTGGGGGCGGGGGTGCGGGGAAGGCTGTGTGCAGGAAGGGCTGCGTTCCCACCTGCTGCAAAATCAGCAAGCACAAAGATCCACTTCTTCATGTGTTACGAGTCCTTCCTACCTCTAAAATACCCTTGAGAAAGCAATATATAAAAGCAATAATGCTGGTTTTCTTTGCCTTACCAAACCAGATACAACCCTGTAGAACTTAAAGCACCCAATAGTATCTCTCTTGGTGGCACGTGGAGGTTAGAGGGACATTCCCAGCTCCTTGGCCAGCTCCTTGGCTGGAGGGGCCACCGGTCT